TCCTCATATTCATGTCCCCTGATGAGTCTGTATTGTAAAAATCTGAAAAGCCTAAAGGTGAACAATTTAAATCATAAATTACATAAACTACACAACCACTTTTCTGGTCCCAAGGTGACCTTTGGTTATATGAATTTCAAAAAAAAAAAAGACTCCTACACAATATAGAATTGTTGCTTTTATTCCATTTTAGAAATAAGAAGGTAATTTTAGAAACCATAACATCTATACCCACAAATCCAGAAGCAAATAAGGTAGAGACATACTGTATAGTCTTACTTTTCGAATCATGCTTCACCTCAAACTTTAAAGAACTGCTCAAATGTGAGGGATTTAACTAGCAAGTGCACAAGCAGGGTGGGCAGAAGGCCAGGGAAACACTTTCAAACCAGACCACATACTTAAAATGCCTTACAAAACACCACTTAACAGCCAGCCTAAAGTGTTGCAATCTGAAATCAATAACCTTTCAGAGTAAAGGTATTCTGATTCTCAGAGATTCATAATCTTCAACCTCAAATGGGCCTTCAATGCTGCCTAACAATGCTACCAAGTTGCCTCAGCATTTCTGACCTTTTTCGAGAATGCCATCTTAAACCTTTATTTTCCTCAAATTTCCAACTTGCCCCAATTAAGCTCAGCAGATAGCATTACAACCTAGTTCCCAGGAGAAAAAAAAAAAAGAAAAGTTATTTGACCAGAATTCCCTAAACATTTTTTCTCAGGTTCACTTTTTCCTCTTATAACTCTGCAGAAAGAACAGTTTGCAAGTCCCACACATAGGAAATAGACTTGAGTGTTCCCAGACACCTTCAAAATTTCCTCCATCCTCAAGTTGTATCCTTTCCTCTATATATGCTATTCTACCTAAACCCCTATTATAACCAAAACATAGAGCCCGTCATCCCAAAGTGAACCCATCCATGAGTATGGTGGATGCTGTCCCCTCTTGCCTGATCAAAGACTCTCTCTATTCTCTCCCTATTCTTCAACTATTTTCAGTCTTTCCCTCTTGGCTGGTCCCTTCCCTTCAGGATTTTACACTTGTTGCTTTTCATCCTTTAATGGTGTCCTTTTTAATGTTATAACAACTTTAGACAAGTTGCAACAATAGTACAAAGAACTCCTGCATACCCTTCAACAGGAGATCCCATTCAAGTTCACCAGCTGTCCCAATAACATAAATTATAACAAAAACATCACACACCACAACTACTAGTTATGCCTCTATAGTTCATTCCCACATGAAATGGTCCTCAGTCTTTCCTTGATATTACCATAAATTGAAGAGAAATAGATTTAAGAATTTTAGCAAATAGGAATGTCTTGATGTTTCCCTGTAACTAAATTCAGGCTGTCTGCTTTTGGAGGTACAAGCAGAAGTAATGCTGTGTCCTTCATGTGGTAGTTTATTGGGTGGACACAATGTCACTTTGTTTCATTGGTGAAAATAATCTTAATTAATCCAGATAGTAGCTATTAGGTGACTCAATGTATTTTTTCTCCATTATAATTTGTTGAGTGATGCTTTGAGTCTACATCAATATACCATATTTCATACCACTTTTACACTCAAATTTTGGCATCTGTTTATATTACTTGCATGAAATGCTATGTTGTTGTTAAATGTCTAGTTCTACCATTCCTTCTGCATTTATTAATTGACACTCTTATGAAATGATTTTCCTTTCTTTCCCTCCCATTTGACTCATTTATTTCTTTACAAAAGTACGTACTCAAGGATTTTCATTGTGATTAATGGGTTAAAATCTTTTACAATCATTATTTATTTTAATGCTCAAATTCTCCCAGATTTGGCCAGTAAGACCCCAATTTCACCAGTCTTATGTCCTTTTGATGTGTCACATTTCCTGAGTACCTCCTTACTTTCTGGCACAGCACAAGATTTCAGACTCCAGCCCCAGAATCAAACATTTCTTCCAAAGGTCCCTGATTCCTTTTAGAAGACAGTGGTATTCAGAAATCAAGATATGGGAACAAGCTCTGCTCTTTGCTTCTAGAAAGAATGCCACTATTCCCAGGACCTCAGGGAAAGGGCTGGGATGTATGTGTATGTGTAGAGCAAACCTGGTCTTTCTGAGGAATTTAACTCAAAGAACAGAAATGACATCCATTCACACTCACGCATTTACATCTACATTTATTTCTTTTTCCACACACATGAAAGGCATGAATTCACACTATTAGTTCCAATTCTAATGCATTCTATATGTACATCACCTTTCTCCATCTGTGAAAACATATCCTGTTACTTCGATAAGTTTCCTTATTGCTCAGTCACTGGTATATAACCAATCTCCTGAACCCTAACTGTCTACCATTGCAATTCCCAGTAATATCTCTTAAAACGGTAGCCTGTAATCACTGTCCCCATAGTCCTCACTTCAGTCATTCTTTGATTTCCATTCTGGTTAAGGTAACTAGTGATCTCCTTGCTGCCAAACCTAAACGATCTTTCTCAATCTTTTCTAATTTGAACTCTCTTACAGCATCTGACATTCTTTAATATGTCCTGCCTCTTAAAATATTCTCTCCCTCTGTTTTCTATAACTTCCTACTCAAATGAGTGACCTCTTTGACCATTCCTTCTTAGAATCCACTATAGGCTTTTGCCTCCTCCCTTCTTTACTTATTATGATCCCCTGGGATTCTGTCCTCTCTATATAGTCCCTTAGGTAGTTCATCCCTTTCAAAAGGGTACAATTATCTCTATTCTGCTGTGGTGGGAGTGCAGCTCAGTGGTAGAGTGTTTGCCTAGCTTGTCCTAGGCCCTAATGACAAAGGAAAAAATTTTAAAGCAGGTCCATATATTCTATATCCTTAATTCAGATCTAATTCTTAAGCTCCAGACCTGTATAATGAAACACCCATCAAATATTATTCCTTAGGGATCTCCACCCTGTCCCATCACCCAAAACTGCTTTTCTTTCTGAGTAATTTAACTTAAAGAACATAATTATCTTTCATCCAATAAGAGGTCCAAAACACTCAGTTGAACAGCCATTCTAAACATCTTTTCTCTCACCCACATCATCAAAGTTAATGAAGTTATCTGTGAAATTCTTTTCCAATTTTATTCCCTTATCAATTCTGTAGAGCAAGAAACTATAACCTTGTTCTTGATTTATCACTATAGTCATTTAAATGACCTCTTCTCTTGCTATTCTTCCAATCTAAGTGACACAATCTTTGTGAAACACAAGTATGATCATTACCCAACCCCTTCCAAGAATCCCCGCTGCCCTGGGGAAGCACCAGTTCCATTACACAGCTAACTAGGCTGTGCATGGTCTTGCCTTAGCCTGCCTTAATGACATCATCTGTTGTCCATAAACTTCAAGCTTAAACAAGCAGCACTGGAATTTCTTTCACTACTACAAACACACACTCTCTCTTCAAGTCTCTCTGCTTCTCTTCTACATTGCAAATTCTACTCATCCCTCAGGACATAGATTTTGTCACCTCCACGGGTCTTCCCAGAATGCCCTGCTCTGTGTTTCCACAGTACTCTAGTTCTCTAAAGTGCTCATCCCCCTTTATTATAACCAGCTTTATCAGAGTCTCAAAGAGAAATGTCTTATACCCAGCTGTATCACCAATACCTAGCATAGTAGCCCAAACACAATAGGTGCCCTAAGTACTGACTGAATGAATGAGCCTAAGAAATAAAGAACTCTACAGAAGTCACAGTAAAAAGGCACATTGCACACACATGGATGAATTCGGGGTATGTGGCAACATACCCTCTTCACTCCTGCTGCTGTGTAATTCAAAGGTTGACATCTTCATATGTAATGAACAACTATGCAACTTTATTAGCCTAAATGAAATAGAATTGTTTATCACAAATACAAGAAGGCAGAAGTCCCTCTTCTTTCTCTGTAGCAAGTTGGAATGACTCAATGTTTTTTACATTTTCATGAAGATGACACACAATTAATCATTGTGTGAGAGAACATGTGTCCTCAGCCAAGAGGGTGAGAGTAAGAATGAATGGTCAAGTACGTTCTTCTCAGTTATTTTCTGCAGGCATGCACACACAAAAACACACACTTCATACTGTTAAGATTACTGTATGACTTAACAAAATAAAAATAGAAAATGAACTCCTGAAGGACATATTCCAAATTGTGGATGGTATCTGGCAGGAAAAGTAACACCAAATGTGAGAGGTGACACCAGAGGGTAACCACTGCCAACTGTAAATACCAAAGGTTGATGTTGCAGGAAAGAGGAAATCTATGAGCAGGATTAATACTGTTACCACTTGCTATACATTGTGACTGTTATAAGCCAGATCCAAGTTACCCCATTATTACCATGCATATTTTACATATAAGGAAATGGCACTTGAAGTGTCCAAGATCTAAAAAATAAGAAAGTGTAGTTCTTTCCAATTCTTAGCACTGTATCCTGAACTGGGCAAGACTGAAAAATTAGAAAACTCCAGTTAAAACATGTTATTTGGGAAAATGAAAAGAAATGGCAAAAGAAATAAATAGAAATTAAAAATTTTGGCTCTAGGGATTAGGAAATAGGAACAAGAAGAGTTGGGCAAAGAATCCCATTTTTATATGAATCCTCTAGTAATACTTGAGCTTTAAAATTATACATATGTATTACTTGAATAAAAAGCACAATTTAAAAGCACAGCAGGAGAGGAACTGGGGTATAGCTCAGTGGTAAATCATTTGCCTAGTACATGTGAAGATCTGGGTTCAATCCTCAGCACCAGGGGGGAGAGGGGGGAGAGAGAAATATATAAAGCACCAAAGGAGACTATTTATTGCCAAAATAATATGTAAAGTCTGATCCATTTAAAATATAAATTTAAATACATATACACAGAAGCTTTGGAATGCTGCTACTCTGGAAGAGTTGTAAGTTTTGCTGGTTTCTTCTTTACCTTCAAAGATCTATACTGCTATTTCAATAAGAAATGTCATTTTTCACAGAATATTTTTAAAATATTTACTTACCTTAGCTGATCTTTCAATATTTAAATCTTTATCCAGTTTAAAAAAAATTGTCATGTTGTACCCAGTCTGGTTTCCATGTCCATGAGGCCACCAAGTTTCCACAGGAATATTCTTTTAAGAAATATAGTAAGTCACTCTAAGAAATGTGGCATATTTTCAGAAAAATAACATGACCAAGAGCATTATGTCAGTTTCTCATATAGTCAAGTACAGG